TTTCTTTCCATCTAGTTATCAGGAAGGTAGAACTAGAGGCAAAAGAAAACGAGTTGAGAAAGAGTGAAAAATATCATTGGCTTGAGAGTCGGGCAGTCATGTAAAGGTGCAGTTTGTGTTCCGTGTATGCATAGGAGAATTCCTATTTTCCTGTGCCTTTGAAAACAGAATTAAAAGTGACAGACACAGGGGAGGCTAAGGATGTATCACATAGTGAAGTATCACTGAACTATTCCTCTGTTGTGGACTATTCAGGCTTTTTTTTTAGCTTTTCACTATTAACAATGCTGCAATGAACAAGCTTGTGTGTGTGTGTGTGTGTGTGTGTGTGTGTGTATGTGTATACACATATTTTTTTTTTTTTTTCAGATAGAGTTTCGCTGTTGTTACCCAGACTGGAGTGCAATGGCACGATCTCGGCTCCTTGCAACCTCTGCCTTCTGGGTTCAAGCAATTCTCCTGCCTCACCCTCCCGAGTAGCTGGGATTACAGGCAGGCGCCACCATGCCCAGCTACTTTTTGTATTTTTAGTAGAGATGGGGTTTCACCTCGTTGACCAGGATGGTCTCGATCTCTTGACCTTGTGATCCACCCACCTTGGCCTCCCAAAGTGCTGGGATTATAGACGTGAGCCACCGTGCCTGGCCACATATGTATTTTTTTTTAAGATGGAGTCTTGCTCTGTCGCCTAGGCTGGAGTGCAGTGACGCAATCTCGGCTCACTGCAACCTCTGCCTCCAGGGTTCAAATGATTCTCCTGCCTCAGCCTCCCAAGTAGCTGGGATGACAGGTGCCTGCCACCATGCCCGGCTAAATTGTTCTATATTTTTGGTAGAGACAGGGTTTAACCATGTTGGCCAGGCTGGTTTCGAACTCCTGACCTCAAGTGATCCGCCTGCCTCAGCCTCCCAAAGTGCTAGGATTACAGGTGTCAGCCATCACGCCCAACCAAGCTTGTACATATATTTTTGACTGCACTTTTTTTTCCCCTAAAATCAAAGATTAATCTTAAGGACATATGTATGTAGTAGAGGCAAACAACATAGCTGGCCCAGGCTTTAATCAATATTTTGAATTGTCCCTTTATTTGTAGCCAAAAGGCCCTTTTACATCTTCCACTCTCCTCCTTTCAGGGGAATGGATTTTAGTAAGATCAATAAATGAGAGTCATAACTGTCTTTTGTAACATGGGAAAAGGAGGTGTCATAAAGCAGAACCAGAGTGACACTTGAATCCAGGACCAGCTGTGTAATTTGTGAACTGGAAATGTAGATCCCTTTTTATTAAAAAAATATTTAAAAATTTCAGCTGATGACAGAGAACATTAAACCAGGGTGTGCTACTGCACAGGTCACATGCACATGAAGCTGGCCTGGACTGACTGACTTCAACAGAGACATTCCAGGGGCAAGTCAGTTTTAAGAAAGAGTACCTAACAGTGAGTAGAAATAGATTCCCTTATGACTCTCCATTTTCACTCATATCTTAGAAAGTCTGTGCACCACCAGAGATCTGTGAACTCCAGCTTGTGGGGTTCCCACTAACTACCTCCTCAATTAAGTTCAAGATTGAATCACACACTGAGAGGGTTTATTTTTTATTTATTTATTTTTTTAAAGTTTTTATTGCATTTTAGGTTTTGGGGTACATGTGCAGAACATGCAAGACAGTTGCATAGGTACACACATGGCAGTGTGTTTTGCTTCCTTTCTCCCCTTCACCCACATTTGGCATTTCTCCTCAGGCTATCCCTCCCCAGCTCCCCCCCCCACTGGCCCTCCCCTTTTCCCCCCAATAGACCCCAGTGTTTAGTACTCCCCTCCCTGTGTCCATGTGTTCTCATTTTTCATCACCCGCCTATGAGTGAGAATATGCGGTATTTCATTTTCTGTTCTTGTGTCAGTTTGCTGAGAATGATGTTCTCCAGATTCATCCATGTCCCTACAAACGACACAAACTCATCATTTCTGATTGCTGCATAATATTCCATGGTGTATATGTGCCATATTTTCCCAATCCAGTCTATCATCAATGGGCATTTGGGTTGATTACAGGTCTTTGCTATTGTAAACAGTGCTGCAATGAACATTCGTGTGCATGTGTCCTTATAGTAGAACGATTTATAGTCCTTTGGATATGTACCCAGTAATGGGATGAGAGGGTTTATGTCACAATTATTTTCTGACATCAGAAAATTCAAAAAGAATTTTTAGCTTTTCTTTTGAGTTTTTACTCCTGTTGACTGCAGGAAAAAGATATAGCTCTGGGCAACACAGCATGCATTCCTTATTTTATGTCTATGAAATCCACAAGATAGGAAGGCCAGCGGAATCTCAGCAGATACCAAAGGAAATAGAAAATAAGAGACCTCAATAAATCCTATTAAAAATGCTACATATGTGATTAAGGCCTTTAAAGTTATGACCGTTATTAAAAACTTCTAACATTGAAAATGGATTTATAAGGAATTTTGTGTGTTTGAAATTATTCAAAAGTGGAAAAAACTGAACAACGACATAAAAATAGAGTTGAGACAGAGATCATGGAATTAAACTGCAATTCTAAACAGTCACTGTGAATATAACTCAGGTTTGTCAAAAGAGAGTTGAATGACTCTTAAATGTTTATAAGACACACCTCTCTGCAAGCTAATGACTGATCAGATATCTCTGGACTTTCTAGTTCATGTTCCTTCTTTTTCTTTTTCTTTTTTTTTATTGCATTTTAGGTTTTGGGGTACATGTGCAGAACATGCAAAATAGTTGCATAGGTACGCACGTGGCAGTGTGATTTGCTGCCTTCCTCCCCTTCACCCACATCTGGCATTTCTCCCCATGCTATCTCTCCCCAACTCCCCCCTGCTGTCCCTCCCCTATTCCCCCCAATAGACCCTAGTGTGTAGTGCTCCACTCCCTGTGTCCATGTGTTCTCATTGTTCATCACCCACCTATGAGTAAGAACATGCGATATTTGATTTTCTGTTCTTGTGTCAGTTTGCTGAGAATGACGTTCTCCAGGTTCATCCATGTTTTTGATGGCTGCATAATATTCCATGGTGTGTATGTGCCACATTTTCCCAGTCCAGTCTATCATCGATGGACATTTGGGTTGATTCCAGGTCTTTGCTATTGTAAACAGTGCTGCAATGAACATTCGTGTGCATGTATCCTTATAGTAGAACGATTTATAGTTCTTTGGATATATACCCAGTAATGGGAGTGCTAGGTCAAATGGAATTTCTATTTCTAGGTCCTTGAGGATCACCACACTGTCTTCCACAATGGTTGAACTAATTTACACTCCCACCAGCAGTGTAAAAGTGTTCCTATTTCTCCACATCCTTTCCAGCATCTGTTGTCTCCAGATTTTTTAATGATCACCATTCTAACTGGCGTGAGATGGTGTCTCAATGTGGTTTTGATTTGCATTTCTCTGATGACCAGTGATGATGAGCATCTTTTCATGTTTGTTGGCCTCATGTATGTCTTCTTTTGTAAAGTGTCTGTTCATATCCTTTGCCCATTTTTGAATGGGCTTGTTTGTTTTTTTCTTGTAAATCTGTTTTAGTTTTTTGTAAATTCTGGATATCAGCCCTTTGTCAGATGGGTAAACTGCAAAAATCTTTTCCCATTCTGTTGGTTGCCGATTCACTCTAGTGACTGTTTCTTTTGCCATTGACTGCACTTCTTAACTGTTTCTTAAAACAGATTACTAGAAGTGAAAATTCTTGGAGGAAGAGCTTGAGGCATTTTTTTTAATAAAAAAATACAAAAAACCACAAAATCGGTTGGATGCACACCTATAATCTCAGCACTTTGGGAGGCTGAGGTGGGAGGATCACTTGAGTCCAGGAGGTTGAGAGCAGCCTGGACAACACAGCAAACTACAAAAAATTAAAAAAAAATTAGCTGGCTGTGGCAGCATGTGCCTGTAGTCCCAGCTACTCAGAAGGCTGAGGTGGGAGGACTACTTGAGCCTAGGAGGTTGAGGCTGCAGTGAGCTGTGATTATACCACTCCACTCCAGCCCGGGCAACAGAGCCAGACCCTGACTCAAAAAAAAAAAAAAAAAAAAAGAAGCAAAATAATATTTAAAAAGCACCAGGTATGCCTGTACTTGAGTTGTCCTTGTTGATGGCTATAAATGAGGACAGCTCTGGCTGAAGGGCGCTCCCATTTCTATAGGCTGAAGGTGGGACATTTTGCAAAGTGTGTTTTCAGGGATACCTGGAGTTTGACCTCCTACATTTATTTGATCTGTATTAATGTTTGTTTGTTTGTTTATTTATTTAATTTGAGACAGGCTGTTACTCTGTCACCTGGGCTGGAGCACAGTGGCATTATTGAGGCTCATTGCAATCTTAAACTCCTGGGCTCAGACAATCCTTTTGCCTCAGCCTCCCGAGTAGCTGGGACTACAGACATACACCACCATGCCTGGATAATTTTTAATTTTTTTTTTTTTTAGAGATGGGGTCGCCTTACGTTGCCCAAGCTGGAGTGCAGTGGTGTGATCATAGCTTACTGCAGCCTGGACTTTGGGCTCAAGTAATCCTCCCACCTCAGCCTCTTGAGTAGCTGAGACTACAGGCACATACCACCGTGCCCAGCTAATTACAAATATTTTTTTTTTTTTTGTAGAGACAAGGTCTTACTATGTTGCCCAGCCTGGTCTCAAACTCCCAGGCTCAAGCGATCCTCCTGCCTTGGCCTCCCAAAGTGCTAGTATTACAGGTGTGAGTCACCACGCCCAGCCCGAATTGTTTAGAATATGAATTCCATGAGGAATTCAGCCTTTTCTATTCAGCTTGTTCATATGCTTTGGCCAGTCCAAGAAACCAGTGGGTGACAAATGGCACCTTTTGGATAGAGATACCGGCTTTGATGGTTTGGTCCGGGAAGCTGGGGAGGAGGGGTGGGCAGGCTGTGGGCAGTCCTGGGAGGAAGGTCAGGTAGGGCTGTGTGTTCGCTGAGCCTCCGCCCTCTTCCTTTGAATCTTTGATAGACTTCTGCCTCGCACTTCTCTTTTTCTGCCCTTCCTTGCTTTGGTGACTTCCTTCGGGTTGCTCAGTGGTGCCTGCAACCCCCGGTTCACCTCCTTCCAGATTCTGGCTCCTTCCAGCCATGGCTCGCAGAGTCCTTCTGTTAACAGGTACCTGGGGGTGGGGGGTGGGGCTCTGGGTAGGGAGGAGGTGAACTTTTGGATCTGTGAGTGAAGAGAGGGCCCAGAATATGTAGGAGTCCATCTGGGGAGAGGCAAAGGGAGTTTCAGGAAGGAGAAAGGATTCAAGAAGAAGCAGGGAGAACAGCTAGATGCAGACGGGCTGACCAAGGAATCCTGGACGAATGACATTCATGGACTGTGCAGGGCTGCTCAGCCAGTCTGCTTGCTTCACAGACCCAGGGAGGAGAGGTGACATGGTGCAGGGGGCACAGCAGGTGTGAGACCCCCTTCCCGAGTGCTTCCTCCTGGACCCCCTCTCACCATCTCCACTTTGCCTCTGGTTCTGTTTTCCAAGGAACCGGGAGCAAATGTTTGTTGAACGACTGGAATCAAAGTGATTTGAGTTTATTTCCTCTTATATGGAGAATGAAATTCTCCACAAAAGGGAAGGAAATTCTTAAGACTTGCATAGGAAGGAAATTATCTAATTAAGCATGTATAGAAACTTGATCATTGGGCAAATCATCGTGGTGGTGACACTGGGGGAAGAGGCCATTTGGGTGCTCAGAGGGGAGGCTGGAATTCAGAGCCAGACTGGACATACCCACGACGGTGGTTCCTAGGTCAGGAGTCAGCACACTGTCGCCTGGGAGCCCCATATGGCCCATCACCTGTTTTTGTACAACCCACCAGCCAGGGGTTGAAGACGAACACGGATAATGGATTTGATGATAGAGAGCACCACCCCCAAAGAATTCAATTTGTCCCATTAGTAAACCCTTATTACAAACAAATTGTACTCAGTCTTTACATGTGGACTTTCCCTAATGGCAAATTTGTGGAAGTGTACTTTCTGTCTTGTTATATAAGTGTCCGTGCAACATAGTCTATCAGCCTCCTGGCCTGCAAAGCCTAAAATTTACTATCTGGCTGTTTATAGAAAGAGTGTGCTAATTCCCGCCCCAGGCTATCAGAGCTGGACCTGGGAGGCAGACATCTGGAAGCTGGGTTAGTTAGGGTGACTGAATGGATGGGAAGGGGCATGGAGCAGGAAGATGTGCTGCTATCTTTTTCTCTTCTTTTCTTTTCTCTTTCCCTCCCTCCCTCCCTCCCTCCCTCCCTCCCTCCCTCCCTCCCTCCCTCCCTCCCTCCTTCCCTCCTTCCCTCCTTCCCTCCTTCCCTCCTTCCCTCCTTCCCTCCTTCCCTCCTTCCCTCCTTCCTTCCTTCCTTCCTTCCTTCCTTCCTTCCTTCCTTCCTTCCTTCCTTCCTTCCTTCCTTCCTTCTCTCTCTCTCTCTCTCTCTCTCTCTCTCTCTCTCTCTCTCTCTCTTTCTTCTTTCATACAGGGTCCTGCTCTGTTGCCCGGGCTGGAGTGCAGTGACATGATCATGGTTCACCACAGCCTTGACCTCCTGGATTCAAGCCATCCTCCCACCTCAGCCTCCTGAGCAGCTGGGACTGAAGGCATGCACCACTACACCTGGCTAATTTTTAATTTTTTAATTTTTTGTAGAGATGGGGTCTCACTGTGTTTTCCAGGCTGGTCTTAAACTCCTGGGCCCGAGTGATCCTCCCACATCAGCATCTTAAAGTGTTGGGATTATAGGCATGAGCCACCATGCCCAGCCATTGCTTTCTTTTAAATAATTATTATTTTTCATTTTGGTTTTTTTGTGTTGTTTTATTTTGAGATAGGATCTCTCTCTGTTGCTTAGGTTGGAGTGCAGTGGCACAATCAGGGATCACTGCAGCCTCAACTTCCTGGGCTCAAGTGATCCTCCTGCCTCAGCCTCCCAAAGTGCTAGGACTACAGGCATGTCCCCCTGTGCCTGGCGGGCATGCTGCTTTCCTCTGCTTGATGCTTGCTCCCTTCTCCCTTTAGCCTTGGCCTTATGTCATGGGTTCAACCTGGACACTGAAAACGCAATGACCTTCCAAGAGAATGCAGCGGGCTTTGGGCAGACCGTGGTCCAGCTTCCGGGATCCAGGTGAGACCCTCAGGTGGAGCCCCTGTCTCAGTGATTTCCCTCCAAGACTTACTCATCTGAATAAAATTGGTGATTTCCTTGAGAGATTTTTTGAATAGATAAATCAATTCAAAAGATACATCAGATTTGTCATTTGCATTTACAGCTTTCTAAATTCAAAAGATGCAAAAGGGTGTAAGAATAAAAATCTTCTCCTCACTCCCTTCCTCCAGTTCCCTTCCCAGGAGGGACCTGGCGAATGGTGTCTTGTGTGTTCCTTTAGGGAGACTGTGTGTACACAACACAGATGTGCTCCCCCTCCGCCAGCACAGCATGTGCAGCAAACATTGTACTGAAATTAAGGCCGGCCTGCAGCTGCCACCTATTTTTGTGAATAACTTTTATTGAAAACAGCTCTGTCCACTTGTCACTTACTGTTTATTGCCCTCCCTCTCTCCATCCCTTCCTCCCTTCCTTCCTTCTTCCCTCCCTCCCTCTGTCCCTCTCTTCCTTCCTCCTTTCCTCCCTCCCTCCCTTCCTTCCTTTGCCTCTCTCTCTTCCTTTTCCTTTCCTGTCCTCTTTCCCTCCCTCCCTCCCTCCCTTCCTTCCTCTCTCCCTCCCTCCCTTCTCTCCTTTCCCCCTCCCTCCCTCCCTTCCCTCCTTTCCCTCTCTCTTCCTTTTCTTTTCCTTTCCTTCCCTTTCCCTCCCTCCCTCCTTCCCTCTCTCCCTCCCTCCCTCCTTCCCTCCATCCCTCCTTCCCTTCCTTTCTCCCTCCCTCCCTTCCCTCCTTTCCCTCTTTCTTCCTTTTCCTTTCCTTTCCTTTCCCCCTCCCCTCCCCTCCCCTCCCCTCCCCTCCCCTCCCCTCTCCTTCCCTCTTCTCCTCCTTTCTGACATGGTCTTGGCCTGTCACTCAGCCTGGAGTGCACTGGTGGAATCATAGCCCACTATAGACTCAAACTCCTGGCCTCGAGCAATCCTCCCACCTTAGCCTCCCGAATAACTGGGACTACAGGCTTGTGCCACCATGCCTGGCTCATTCTTGATGTTTTTGCCTAGATGAGGTCTCTGTTGCCCAATCTGGTCTCAAACTCCTGGCCTCAGATCATCCTCTTGCCTGGGCCTCCCAGCGTGCTGGGATGATGGGTGTAAACCACCGCGCCCGGCTATGGCCACTTTCGAGTTGTAATGGCAGAATCTAGTAGCTGTGACAGAGACTATATGGACCTGAGTCTAAAACATTTACCTTTACAGAAGTAGTATTTGTGAAGGTGATAGTAGCTTTCCAGAAGTAGGGGCTGGTCTCTGCTCTTTGCTTTATGTCCTATAGAAAAGCCTGGTGATTTGACCAGCTAAGTCCATTAATTCCATGTTATGCTTGCATTGCATGCCACAATTTGGAGGTAGTATAATTTACTTTTTTGATACAGAGTCTCTTGCTCTTCACCCAGGCTGGAGTGCGGTGGCGCAATCTCGGCTCCCGGCAACTTCCGCCTCCTGGGTTCAAGAGATTCTCCTGCCTCAGCCTCCCCAGTTGCTGGGATTACAGGCGCCCACCACCACGTCCAGCTAATTTTTGTATTTTTAGTAAAGACAGTGTTTACCATGTTGGTCAAGCTGGTCTCAAACTCCTGAGCTCAGGTGATCCACCTGCCTTGGTCCCCCAAAGCACTGGGATTATGGGTGTGAGCCACTGTGCCCGGCCTGTAATTTCCTTTTACATTATATTAGTTCTCTTGTTAGTGAACATTTAGATTGTTTCCAAACTTTTCCTCTATGAGCAACGCTGTCATTTTGCACATCCACAAGCCTATTTGGAAATAAAGCCTAGAACTGGGATTGCTCCATCCAGGGGTGCACAGGCACGTGCAATTTGAGCGCCCTCTACAGAAGTGGCAACAATTTACATACCGGAAATTCACGAAATTACCTACTTCTCACCCATTTGCCAACTCAGTGCGCTATCAAACTTACTGATCTCTGCAAATTGAGTAGGTGTGAAGTGATATCTTAATGTAGCTTTAAATTGCTTTCTTTTTTATGAGAGAGGTATTTTCTTTTCTGTGAACATGTTTTTCTCATCTGTTGCCCATTTTTCAATTTTTTTTTTTTTTTGAGGCGGAGTCTTGATCCAGGCTGGAGTGCAGTGGTGCAATCTTGGCTCACTGTAACCTCTGCCTCCTGGGTTCAAGCAATTTTTCTGCCTCAGCCTCCTGAGTAGCTGGGAGTACAGGCATGTGCCACCACGCCCAGCTAATTTTTATATTTTTAGTAGAGATGGAGTTTCACCATGTTGGCCAAAATGGTCTTGATCTCTTGACCTTGTGATCCACCCACCTTGGCCTCCCAAAGTGCTGGGATTACAGGCGTGAGCCACAGCACCTGGCCCCCATTTTTCAGTATTTATTATTTATTTATTACTAGTTTGTACTAGCTTTGAATACACAGGGGAAGTAGTCTGGGGTGTGAGTTGTGAATCTCTCTCCCTTCTTTATTATTCTTTTGACTTTGCTTATGGTAGTTTATCACATACAGAAATTTATTTCATATGACTGTGTGGTGGAGGCTGGGTACAGGGGCTCAAGCCTGTAATTCCAGCATTTCAGGAGGCTGAGGTGGGCAGGTCACTTGAGGCCAGGAGTTCGAGATCAGCCTGGCCAACATAGCGAAACCTCGTCTCTACTAAAAATACACAACTTAGCCAGGCATGGTGGTGCACACCTGTAATCCCAGCTACTCAGGAGGCTGAGACAGGAGAATTGCTTGAACCCGTGGGCCGGAGGTGGCAGCAGTGAGCCAAGATTGTGCCACTATACTATAGCCTGGGTGATAGAGTGAGACTCTGTCTCAAAGAAAAATAAATAAATAAAATGACTGGGTGGGCCGGGCCCAGTGGCTCATACTTGTAATCCCAGCATTTTAGGAAACCAAGGTGGGAGACAGAGGTTGCAGTGAGCTATGATCGTGCCACTGCATTCCATCTTGGGCAACAGAGTGAGACCCTGTCTTAAAAAAAAGTCAGCCTGGGACTACAGTTGTGTACCACCACACTTGGCCAGTTTTTTTTTTTTTTTGAGATGGAGTTTCGCTCTTGTTACCCAGGCTGGAGTGCAATGGCGCGATCTCGACTCACCGCAATCTCCGCCTCCTGGGTTCAGGCAATTCTCCTGCCTCAGCCTCCTGAGTAGCTGGGATTACAGGCACGCACCACCGTGCCCAGCTAATTTTTTGTAATTTTAGTAGAGACGGGGTTTCACCATGTTGACCAAGATGGTCTCGATCTGTTGACCTCGTGATCCACCCGCCTCGGCCTCCCAAAGTGCTGGGATTACAGGCTTGAGCCACCGCGTTGGCCAGTTTTTAAAAACATATTTTGTAGAGATGGGGTCTCGCTATGTTACCCAGGCTAGTGTCAAAGTCCTGGCCTCAAGCAATCCTCTTGCCTCAGCCTCCTAAAGTGCTGGGATTACAGTGGTGCCCAGCTTAAATTGACCTGTTTTTATTTTTAAAATTTATGTATTTATTTTTTGGGACAGAGTCTTGCTCTGTCACCCAGGCTGGAGTATAGTGGTGCTATCTAGGCTCACTGCAACCTTTGCCTCTTGGGTTCAAGCAATTCTCTTGCCTCAGCCTCCCGAGTAGCTGGGACTACAGGTACGCACTGCCACGCCCAGCTAATTTTTTGTACTTATAGCAGAGATGGGGTTTCACCATGTTGCCTAGGCTGATCTTGAACTTCTGAGCTCAGGCAATCTGTCTCCTTCGGCCTCTTAAAGTGCTGGGATTGCAGGTGTGAGCCACTGTGCCAGGCCCTATTTTTAAATGACTTCTGGTTTTTATGTCATTCTTAGGAAGACCTTTTCTCATTCTGAGCCTTAACATTTTCCCATGGTTTTCTTGCTAATTCTTCCTCCTAGGCATGGGAATTCAGAAATCCGGGTGTGGGCCCCCACTTTCCTCTGGGTGGCAGAACTTCTGTGGTCTCCTTCTCTCCCCACATGTCGGAGTTTTCTCTATTCCCACTTCTCCCCGCAGGGTGGTGGTCGGAGCCCCCCAGCAGGCAGTGGCTGCAAACCAGACGGGCAGCCTCTACCAGTGCGACTACGGCATTGGCTCCTGCGAGCCCATCCGCCTGCAGGGTGAGTGGCTGCTCCACTGGGCCGGAACTGGGATTCCCCTGTGAACACATAGGACTGGCCAGGCACTCCTGTGTCCTGGGAGATCCGAGGTGGGGGCACAAGGGTCTGGCTCCCTACCCTCTCCTCTGCCTGCAGTCTCTACCTCAGACAACCCCAGGCGTGTACCTTTCTTTCCCAAGATCTAGGATCCCCCTTCACTGTCAGACCTCCTTGTCTTCCACATGGAGGTGAGCCCTGCCCAGCTCTTCCTCAGCCTCTGTGTCCCTCTGAGGGTGACCATGCCCATATTTCTCCCCACAGTCCCCCCAGATGCCGTGAATATGTCCTTGGGTCTGTCCCTGGCAGCCACCGCCAGCGCCCCCCAGCTGCTGGTGAGTGGCCCTGGATCCCAGGAGTTCCCTAAGGGGGGCATTTCGGGGTCCGGGTATAGTGGGGCTGGGGGTCTTGTGGAGGGTAGAGGTGCTGGGGTACAAGGACTAGAAGCAGGGGCAGCCCCTTCCACTGCCTCCTGCCCCCTAGGCCTGCGGTCCCACCGTGCACCAGACTTGCAGGGAGAACACGTATGTGAAAGGGTTCTGCTTCCTGTTTGGATCCAACCTACGGCAGCAGCCCCAGAGGTTCCCAGAGGCCCTCCGAGGTGCGTTGCCTTGGGCAGAGGGAACAGATGGGCAGCAAAAGACTGGGGGAGGGGGCAGGACTGAGGTAGTTCTGCTCGAGGTCTGGACTCAGTGTAGACGGATCGGGGAACCGGGTTCCATTAGAGAGAGAGGCTAGGGAGGTTGCTAGGGTCCTGTACTTTAGGAAAAGTCCTTGGCTAGGCACAGTGGCTCACACCTGTAATCCCAACACTTTGGGAGTCCAGGAGTTTGAGATCAGCTTGGGCAAAGTAGTGAGACCCTGTGTCTAAAAAAAACCCAAAAATTAGCTGGGTATGGTGATGAACACCTATAGTATTAGCTGTTTGGAGGCCAAGGTGGGAAGATTGCTTGAGGCCAGAATTTCGAGACAAGCCTGGGCAACATAGGGAGATTCCTGTTTCTAAAAAAAAAAAAAAAAAAATTAAAAAAATTAGCCAGGTGTGGTAGCACACACCTATAGTCCCAGCTACTCAGGAGGATTACTTGAGCCTGGGAAGTTGAGGCTGCAGTGAGCTATGATTACACCACTGTACTCCAACCTGGGGGACAGAGCAAGACCTTATCTTTAAAAAAATACATCCAGGTCATACTGCAGAGGAGGGGCTTATGCAAGGTGTCATTGGCAGTAGGTGGGAATCCTGGGGACCATCTTGGGGGCTGCCTTCTACACCCCTGTTCCGCAAACCTCCATTGATTGAGAGACTGAGTGCATGGATCTTTTTTTTTTTTTTTTTTTGAGGCAGAGTCTTACTCTGTTGCCCAGGCTGGAGTACAGTGGCACAATTTTGGCTCACTGCAACCTCCACTTCCAGGGTTCAATCGATTCTCCTGCTTCAGCCTCCTGAGTAGCTGGGATTACAGGTGCCCACCACCACACCAGCCTAATTTTTGTATTTTTAGCAGAGATGGGTTTTACCATGTTGGCCAGGCTGGTCTTGAACTCCTTAGCTCAGGTGATCTACCCCCCTCTGCCTCCCAAAGTTCTGGAATTACAGGCGTGAGCCACCACCCCTGGTGTGCATGGGTCTTTCAAGCTGCTTTCTCCTGCTGCTTTGCTCAACGGCTCTGCCATCTTTTTGCTGGTCTTCGTGTTGACGCTGACACCACAGGCGAATGTTTCTCCCTTGCACTTTTTTTTCCCTCAAGCCCTGTTCCTCTATACTTCACCCTCCACAGATAATCCTCCTTCTTCCACAGAGAAAACAAAGCTTCTGGCATGAACTCCCTTTACTTTCTTCTTCTCTTATTTTTTCTTAATAAGGGAGTTTCCAGTCTTCCCCGGAATTTGTTAGACAAATTCTAAAAGAGCTGTAAGACCGCACTTTCCCCCTTTGCTCAAATTTCCATAATGACACCACTCCTGGCAGTGACTCACTGGTGTTACAGGAAGACCTGTCTCTCCTCTGTTTCATGGCTGAATTCTTCCATCTGGGCTTTTGAGAGTCTCTCATGCACCAACTAAGGTGATCACCTATCTTTCTTTTTTCTTTTCTTTTTTTTTTTTTGAGACAAGGTCTTGCTCTGTCACCAGGCTGGAATGCAGCAGCACAATCTCGGCTGATTGCAGCCTCTGCCTCCTGGGCTCAAGTGATTCTCATGCCTCAGCCTCTGGAGTAGCTGGAATCAAATGTGTGCATATCCTAGTTTTTTTTTTTTTGAGACTGAGTCTTGCTCTATTGCCCAGACTGGAGTGCAGTGGTGCCATCTCGGCTCACTGCAACCTCCACCTCCCGGGTTCAACTGATTCTCCTGCCTCAGCCTCCCAAGCAGCTGGGGCTACAGGTGCCCGCCATCATGCCCAGCTAATTTTTGTATTTTTAGTAGAGACAAGGTTTCATTATATTTGTCAGGCTGGTCTCGAACTCCTGACCTTGTGATCCACCCACCTCGGCTTCCCACAGTGCTGGAAGCACAGGCATCTCTTGAATCACTTGTTTTCTCTCCAGGACATTTGACTTCTCCTTTCCTCTGGCTGTAAACATTCTCATTCTACCCGTATCTGAAAAATGATCAACCACCAAAATCGATAGCCATGAAAACAATCTTCTCTCATCCAGCCTCCTCCTCACCTCCTGCCCTCTCTCTCCACCCTCATTGCCCAAACTTCTGAGTGCATTCTCTTCACCCCAGGCTGCCTCCTCCACCTTCCCTCGCCTTCTCCGGACACTGGGTTCTGGCTGCTCTTTTCACCCATGTGTTCTTCTCTGAAATCACTTAGTTCTGTGGCTTCAGCTAACACCTCTCCCTCTCCCTCTTTAGACCTCACTCTCAGGGGTTCAAGACTACTTCTTTAAACAAGTTTTCATTTATTAAAAATATATGTTACATACACTTGGTTCACAATTTGGAATGGGCTCAGTGCTGGTAGCTCCTACCTGTAATCCCAGCACTTTGAGAGGTCAAGGCAGGAGGATTGCTTGAGGCCAGGAGTTTGGGACCAGCCTAGACAACATAATGGGACTCCATCTCTACAAAAAAGCAATTAGCCAGGCATGGTGGCGTGTGCTTGTGGTCCTAGCTATTCAGGAGGCTTCCCAAAGTGCTGGGGTTACAGGCATGAGCCACTATGCCCTGCCAGTCTTTCCAAAATACAAAACAAATCATCTCACTTCCTTTGCTAAGAACCTTCCATGGCTCCCCATTGCCTATGGATAAAGTCAAGCTTTTTATTGGAGTTGAGAGACCCTTGCCCGTGGTTCTCTGCTTGATGTTGCAGCTACGTCTCCATCACCATCACATACATTTACCCCTGCAGTGCCATTTCCATTGAACAGCATTCCTGGATTCCGCCAGAATCCTTTTGATGCCCTTGTCCCAGTCTCAACCGGGACAGAAGGCATACTCCAGTAATGTCGCCGCCCAAGGGGGTCACCTTGCCGGCTCCCTAGACAGAGCCAATTCATCAAGACAGGGGAATTGCCATAAAGAGTAATTTACTCAGAGCCACTGTGCAGCAGACTGGAGTTTCATTACCACTCAAATCAGTCTCCCGGAGCGTTCAAGGAGCAGAGTTTTTAAGGATAACTTGGTGGGTAGGGGCAAGCAAGTGAGCCATGACTGCTGATTTGTCAGAGATGAAATCATCGGGAGTTGGAGCTGTCTTCTTGCATTCAGTCGGTTCCTGGGTGGGGGCTCCAAGATCAGATGAGCTAGTTTATTGATCTGGATGGGGCCAGCTGATCCATCAAGTGCAAGGTCTGCAAAATATCTCAATTACTTATCTTAGGAACAATTTCGGGAGGGTCAGAATCTTGTAGCCTCCAGCTGCATGTCTCCTAAACCACAATTTCTCATCTTGTGGTTAATGTTAGTCCTACAAAGGCCTCTAGTCCCCAGGCAAGAAGGAGGCCTGCTTTGGGAAAGGGCTGATAGCGTCTTTGTTTAAACTATGAACTATAAGCTAAGTTTCTCCCAAAGTTAGTTCAGCCTACACCCAGGCATGGACAAGGACAGCTTGGAGGTTAAAAGCAAGATGGAGTCAGTTAAGTTAGCTCTCTTCACTGTCTCGGTCAAAATTTTGCACAGGCGGTTTCAGTAAGATTTATTTACAAAGAGGGGGGTTTGTTTATAAAGGGAGTAAGTATAAAGCTGTGACAGGGCCTAAGGGAGCCATCAGGGACTTTCCAAGTCCTGGGCAAGCAGTGCCAGGTCTTTTGCCACCTCCGGGCTTATGGGGTGAGGAGGGGAAGAGCTCACCAGGGTCCTGAGAGAGTCATGTGGAGCTGGCCTCCTTCCAAGGAACAGTTGATCTTTTGTGGAGGACATATCTGTCCCCAAGCAACCTCAATGGGAGAACACCCAGACCTCACTGTCCTCCTTCCTTCAGTCTTCTGTTGAATCCGCTCATTGGCCAGATCCAATGGGAATCCAGAGGGCAACAGAGTCCTGCTGATGGGATCTACCTCCCAGGCCACAGAGCTGAGTGGTGATGGGCCACAGAGCTGAGTGGTGATGGGTAGAAAGTGGATTTGGGAATGGGGAGAGAAGGCAGAGAAGCAGATTCTGTATCGCTTTATGTATGTGTGCCATTCCCTTTTCTAGAATCTACTCCTTTTGTACTTCTGGCAAATCCTTTCTTTCCCTCCCTTCCTTCCTTCCTTCCCTCCCTCCCTCCCTCCCTCCCACCCTCCCTCCCTCCCTCCCTCCTTCCTTCCTTCTTTCCTTCCTTCCTTCCTTCCTTCCTCTCTCTTTCTCTCTCTCTCTCTCTCTCTTTTTTTTTTTTGGCAAAGTCTTCCTCTGTGACCCAGGCTGGAGTTCAGTGTTGCGATCTCAGCTAACGTTTGTATTTTTTTTTCTTTTTTTTTTTTTAGGGGAAAAAAAGAAAAAGAGGGAAAAAGGAATATTACTTCATTCCTAAAATGGGTTTCAATAATGGCCGATCAATATTTTGAGTGTTTAAAGTGGTTAGTGCATATTTTATGTGTTTAAAATGGAGACCTCTATTGTGTTTATTTGTTCTGGCTCTGAGTTCAAGTCCTGGATATCGTTATCAATTTGTTGTCTCGTTGGATCTAAATCTCATTATGTGTCTTATGTATCTGGGTGTTAAGATCTCTTATTGTTACATTAATCCTTTTACCCTTGCATCCTTGTAGCTTTGAAATCTATTTTATTAAGTGTGAGAATTGCAACTCCTGCTTTTTATTTATTTATTTTTGCTCTCCATTTGGTTGGTGAGTTTTTTTCCATCCCCTTGTTTTGAGTCTTTGTATATCTTTAGATATATCGTTAGATTTTGTGGATAATATATATTTTGTGTGTTTAAAATGGAGAGCCCTATTGAGTTTATTTGTTCTGGATCTTAGTTCCAGTCCCGGATATTGTTATCAATTTTCTGTCTCGTTGAATCTAAATCTCATTATGGGTCTTATGTATCTGAATGTTAAGATCTCTTATTATTACATTAATCCTTTTATCCTTGTATCCTTGTAGCTTTGAAATCTATTTTGTCAAATGTGAAAATTGCAACTCCTGCTTTTTATTTATTTATTTTTGCTCTCCATTTGGTTGGTACGTTTTTTTTTCCAACCCTTTGAGTCTGTGCATATCTTTGGATATACCGTTAGATTTTGTCTGTCTCTTTTGATTGGGAGATTTGGTTGATTTAAATTTAGGGTTGCTGCCGTTTGATATTAACTGGCTATTTTGTCCTTTTGTTGATAAAAATTTTTCTTTATGTTAATGCTCTTTACTTTTTGGTGTATTTTTAGAAAGGGTCATACTGGTTGTTCCTTTCTGTGTATAGTGCTTCTTTTAGAAGTTCTTGTAAAGCAGGCCTGGTGGTAATAAAATCTCTGAGTACTTGCTTGTTCCTAAAAAATTTTATTTTTCCTTCAAATGTAAAGCTTAAATTGGCAGGATATGAAATTCTGGGCTGAAAGTTCTGTTGATTAAGTATCTTGAATATTGGCCCCCACTCTCTTCTAGCTTGTAGGGTTTCCGTTGAGAGATCTGCTGTAAGCCTAATAGGCTTACCTTTATGGGTAACTTGATCTTTCTCTCTGGCTGCCCTTAATATTTTCTCCTTCGTTTCGATCTTGGTGAATCTAACGATTATGTGCCTTGGGGTTGGTCTTCTTGAGGAATATCTTTGTGGTGTTCTCTGTATTCCCTGGGGTTGAATAGTGTCCTGCTTTGCTAAATTAGGAAAATTTTCCTGGATAATGTCCTGGAGAGTATTTTCCAGCTTGAATTCATTCTCTCCGTCACATTCAGGTACACCAATCAAGCGTATATTAGGTCTTTTCACATAGTCCCATATTGCTTGGAGACTTTGCTCATTCCTTTTTATCCTTTTTTCTCTATTCTTGTCTTGTCGTTTTGTTTCATTAAGTTGATCTTCGACCTCTGATACCCTTTCTTCTGCTTGATCCATTCGGCTGTTTAAGCTTGTACATATTTCACCAAGTTCTCGTGTTGTATTTTTCAACTCCATAAGTTCATTTGTATTCCTCTCTATATTGTCTATTCTTTTCAACATTTCATCTAACCTTTTTTCCAAGTTCTTAGTTTCTTTACATTGGGTTAGAACAAGTTCCTTTAACTCCCAGAAGTTTCTTATCATCCACCTTTTAAAGCCTACTTCAGATAATGGAACACAGTCCTTTTCCATCAGGGCTTGTTCCGTTACTGATGAGTCCTTTTCCATCAGGGCTTGTTCTGTTGCTGATGAGTCCTTTTCCATCAGGGCTTGTTCCGTTGCTGATGGGTTCTGATTTTGAGTATACTCGGCCTTCTTAGGCTGTTTTTTTCCCTTCATTGTGGATGACCCGCCTTTCTAATTAGTTTTCTGAGTCGACGTCCGACTTATTGATTCCCAGTGCTGGGATCCGAGCAACCCACTGTGGCAGCCTAAATAGCAGCGGTAAGACTGATGGTGCTCTTCTGCCCGGGAATCTCTGGTCTGGCTTCCCTCTTGAGTCCGCAACAAGCGGCTCTGACTTCCCGGAGCTCCAAACTCCAGTCAGTAGGGGAAGCAGTCCCGTTGGCTCTGCATGAAGAGCTGCTGCGCCGAGAAGCTGGCAAAACCGCTGCGGCGGCCACAAGAGTCACGCTGGCGACCCGTGGGGCTCCTCCACTGGGAATCGGCTGATCGGTGAGTGATGAAAATTCGTCTAAAAGTGTGGCGTCGTCTCGTTCTCTGGGCTTTCACTGGGAGCTACAATCGTGAGCTGTTAGTGGTCGGCCATCTTGGATCGATCCCACGTTTGTATTTTTAGTAGAGATGGGGTTCCACCGTGTCAGCTAGGCTGGTCTCAAACTCCTGACCTCAAGTGATCCACCCGCCTCGGCCTCCCAAAGTGCTGGGATTACAGGCATGAGCCACCGCACCCAGCTGGGCAAATTATTTCTTGTTCTTCATGATCCAATCAAACATCGCCATGTTCCCTGATTCCTTTGGTGAGAATTAACTAAAAATTTCCATACCACTTTTTCCCTGTTTGTTTACTTATTTATTTTTTTAGAGACAGGGTCTTTCTCTGTGGCCCAGGCTGGAGTGCAATGGTGTGATCTCAGCTCACTGCAGCCTCAACCTTTCAGGCTGAAGTGATCCCTCACCTTCAGCCTCCTGAGGAGCTGGGACCCCAGGCATGTGCCATGGTGCCCTGCTAATTTACATATATATAAAAATAGAGACAGGATCCTATATTCTCATTGTTCACCAGAGGGCTGGCATGCAAAAAAACTCCAAAACACCAAGTGTCGAATTACTTAATTCATACTCTTTTTCCCCTTCCCTAGAGTGCCCTCAACAGGATAGTGACATTGCCTTCTTAATTGATGGCTCTGGTAGCATCAACCCAAATGACTTTCGGCGGATGAAGGAGTTTGTCTCAACCGTGATGGAGCAATTAAAAAAGTCTAAAACCTTGGTGAGGGCCCATGGGTAGGTCAGAGAAGAGCCTGCACGGGCCTGGAAGATACATGGCAACCGGGCTACCACGTTCTCCTCCCGTTTCAACTGCGGGCATTGCCAAATTGGTGATCAATTGTGGTTCTCCTTCCTGAGTCTTTTCTGCTCTGCTGGACGTAGCCTCAGCATTCTTTCAGCCTTTTATAAAGGAGGCAGCTCTGACTAAATTTTTTTTTTTTGAGATGGAGTTTTCTTCTTGATACCTAGGCTGGAGTGCAATGGCACAATCTCGGCTCATCGCAACTCCATCTCCTGGGTTCAAACGATTCTCCTGCCCCATCCTCCTGAGTAGCTGGGATTACAGGTGCATGCCACCACCCTCAGCTAATTTTTAGTAAAGACAGGGTTTCTCCATATTGGTCAGGCTGGTCTCGAACTCCTGACCTCAGGTAATCCACCGGCCTTAGCCTCCTAAAGTGCTGGGATTACAGGTGTGAGCCACCATGCCTGGCCTAGCTCTGACTAATTGTTAAGGGTTACCATCGGAGATGAAGCCCACATGTCCTTGCTGGCTGAGTTTTATTTTTATTTTTTTGAGACATATCTGCTTGAGGACAAATATGTCCTCCACAAAAGGAGACTATCACCCAGCTTAGAGTTGCAGTCTCAGCTCACCACAACCTCTGTCTCCCAGGTTCAAATGATTCTCCTGCCTCAGCCTCCCGAGTAGGGGGGATTACAGGTGCACACCACTGCACCTGGCTAGTTTTTGTATTTTTAGTAGTGATGGGGTTTCACCATATTGAGCAGGCTGGTCTTGAACTCCTGACCTCAGGTAATCCACCCTCCTCAGTCTCCCAAAGTGCTGGGATTACAGGCATAAGCCAGCGGCTGGCAGTGTTCTAGTATTGAGGAGAGATGGGAGCTGCTGGCAGCTCTCTGTCTTGGTGAGGCAGGAGATTATGGGCAGCACAGAGAAGGAATTTGGAGACTGGAGTGTTTAAAATCTTTGTGGAGCTTGCTGGGAGATGTCTGAGGGTGGGGGCTCCTTCTCCAGCATCACCCCAGCCTCCGCCTCTGCAGTTCTCTTTGATGCAGTACTCCAATGAATTCTGGACTCACTTCACCTTCAAAGAGTTCCAGGACAACCCTAACCCAAGATCGCTGGTGAGGCCAATAACGCAGCTGTCTGGGTGGACATACACGGCCACCGGCATCCGCAAAGTGGTGTAAGCTTCCCCTTTTCGCTTAAGGTGGAGGGAGGAGGAGACACTTTTAGCTGGGCTAGATGGATGAAGGGAGTCATTCAGACAGGGGTGGTAGAGGATGCATCCCCTCAGGCAGAGGTGGGGAGGAGGGGCTGTGCCTGGTGTGTTCATCAAAGGACAAGTCGTGAGCGAAAGTGGGAGTGGAGTGCGGAAGTGAGAGAAAAGTGTCTGGAGGGAGGCTGGAAAGATCAGCTCAGGCCAGGAACCAAAGGCAGCTTTATAGCCCGTGGGGAGACATTGCCGTGTCTCCTTTTGGAAAGTTCGCTCTGATTTTGGGGTGTGTGTACAGGCAAGGGTGGGGTTGGGACAGAAGTGCAAGAAGCACTGGGGAGTCGTAGAGAGGCTGGGGAGCTGGTGCAGTGCTCTGGGAGAGGTTTCAGGGCCAATTAAGTTCATTTCTTAATTTTATATATATGTGTGTGTGTGTGTGTGTATATATATATATATATTTTTTTTTTCTTTTTTTTTTGAGGTGGAGTCTCACTCTGTCATCCAGGTTAGAGTGCAGTGGCATGATCTCAGCTCACTGCAACCTCTGCCTCCCAGGTTCAAGTGATTCTCCTGCCTCAGCCTCCCGAGTAATTGGGATTACAGGCATGCACCACCATGCCCGGCTAATTTTTGTATTTTTAGTAGAGATGGGGTTTCACCATGTTGGTCAGGCTGATTTCAAACTCCTAACCTCAGGAGACCCACCCACCTTGGCCTCCCAGAGTGCTGGGATTACAGGCTTGAGCCACTGTGCTAGGCCCCGTAATTTTTGTATTTTTCTGGTCGAGACGGGGTTTCTCCATGGTGGTGACTGGTCTTGAACTCCTGACCTCAGGTGATCCACCCACCTCGGCCTCCCAAAGTGTTGGGGTTACAGGTGTGAACCACCTCGACCAGCTGAGTCTCTGTCTGAAAAAACAGTACTGTGTCATCTATTTGCATTTGACTTTGTCCCTCCTCTTCCCTGCACAGACGAGAACTGTTTAACGTCCGCCAAGGAGCCCGAGAGAATGCCCTTAAGATCCTAGTTGTCATCACAGATGGAGAAAAGTTTCGTGATCCCTTGACATATGAGGATGTCATCCCCGAGGCAGACAGAGAGGGAGTCATTCGCTACGTCATTGGGGTATGGAATATAGCTCTCAGGCTGACACTTCTGTGGAGGGTTTCTATGTGGGTCTGCCCTCCCTTCAATTTACAAATGTTAATAAAATTGAAGTGACAGGAGAGCTATTGCCACCTCATATACACCGTATCAGCTATCTATTGCCACATCAATGCTGTGTAATAAATTATCCCCAAATTCAGTGACTTAAAATAATAAGTAAGTCTGTGGGTCAGCCAGCCAAGGGTTCTGGTCTCAGCAGCCTTCCTCACTGTCATTAGCTGCAGGTTGGTAGGCTGCTCTGCTAATCTTGGCCAGGCTCTCTCTGCTTCTGAGTGTCGCCAGCTATGTGTGTCTGCTGGACAAGATGGCCTTGGGTAGAAACACTGGGTGACTTGGCTCTTTGGCATCCTGGCTCTCATTCTCTGGGGCTAGCCTGGGCATGTCCTCATGGTGAAGGCAGGGGAGCAAGAGAACAGTGGAGATGTTCAAGTGCTTTTTCTTTTTTCTTTCTGGAGACAGAGTCTGGCTCTGTTGCCCAGGCTGGAGTGCAGTCGCTCGATCTCAGCTCAACACAACCTCCACCTCCTGGGTTCAAGTGATTCTCCTGCCTCAGCCTCCTGAGTAGCTGGGACTACAGGCGCGCATGCCACCATGCTCAGCTAATTTTTTTTTTTTTTTTTTTGTATTTTTAGTAGACGGGATTTCACCATGTTAGCCAAGATGGTCTGTCTCCTGACCTTGTGATCTGCCTGCCTTGGCCTCCTAAAGTGCCAGGATTACAGGCATGAGCCACCGAGTCCGGCTGCAAGTGCTTTTCCCTGCCTCTGCATCATGTTTGATGAGATCCATGCGTGTCAGGAGTGGTGCAAGGTTAGAAATAACCAGGTCCACACAGGTTTGTGTCTTTCCACAGTGTCAGGCCTTTACTGATGCTATTTCGATCACAAACGCCACGAGCTGCATGGAATTCCCAAGGAGGCAGTTCTCCTCAGTGTACCCTATTCTCTCCCTCACACAGGCCCAAGCCACCCACAAGTCAGTTAACCGTTGCAAACCGAATATAATAGTATACTTAGTATCTAAAAGTTACAGGTTAAACATTCCACAGCAAGCAAAGTAATATCCAACATCAGAAGAAAAAGTGAGAGGAGAAAGGATGAATGAAAAGGACTCCTGGTCTGGGCCCAACGGTCCTGGTCCCATCAGTCTTGTAAGGCAGAGTCTTTGATGTGGTGCAGTCTTTGGCTACAAATGCCAGGCTCTCCTGACAAGTGACTGTGAGGTGGTGTGAGTTCAGATGGCTGCTTTGAGCAGCTGAAAGCCTGATCGCTTCTAGTTACAGAGCCCGCTGGTGAGAACAGACAGGGAAGAATGTGCTTGTTTGCATGCTTATCTGATTGGATGTAGTCTTTATTTGTTCGTTTATTTATTTTGAGACTGAGTCCGACTCTATCACTCAGGCTGGAGTGATGTAGTCTTTGTTTATTTATTTATTTTGAGACTGAGTCTGGCTCTATCACTCAGGCTGGAGTGCAGTGGCATGATCTTAATTCACTGCAACCTCCGCCTTCTGGGTTTAAGCGATTCTTGTGCCTCAGCCTCCCGAGTAGCTGGACCACAGGCATGCACCACCACACCTGGTTAATTTTTTTTTGTATTTTTAGTAAGAGATGGGGTTTCATCATGTTGGCTAGGTTGGTCTTGAGTGCACAGCAGAGCACCGGGGGAAAGGGTTGGGTACAGGAAGAGGCAAGGAGTCAGGATCATCCGTGTAATCAAACTACTGCAGCACCTGTTGACACAGAAAGTGATATCACCATGGAGACATGCCCTGGCATGTAGGAAGTAGTTTCATATAAAGAAAAGGCTTCCTTTCCTCTAGGTCAGCTCCACACCAGGAGACGTGGCACAGCAGATGAATCAGCAGCCGAGTTTCTGCCCCAAGTTGCTTCCTTGGCACAGTGCCTTGTGCAATGTACAACCTGCTTGACTATACCTGGCAACCATGTCCCAGGGACCTTCTGATGTATTTCCTCACTTGATAAATAATGGTTCAGACTAGTTTCCTGCAGAATTATCTTTGCCAGATGATACTGCTACCCTCAGACCGTGATTTGGCGTCTGTATTTTTGGAACAGGTGGGAGATGCCTTCAGCAGTGAGAAATCCCGCCAAGAGCTTAATACCATTGCATCCAAGCCGCCTCGCGATCATGTGTTCCGGGTGAATAACTTCGAGGCTCTGAAGACCATTCAGAATCAGCTCCAGGAGAAGATCTTTGCGATCGAGGGTGAGTCAGGCATCTGTGTTCCCAGAGTAGCTCCAGAGGCAGCCCCAGGCCCCAGAACACCTATTCCCCTCTAGAATCCAGCCCCTCCTAACCCTTAGCATCCCCCAGCATCAACTCTCTCCACTGCCTCCAGCTCCCAGTCCCGGCCTCACTTGGTCAATTTCTTTCAAGTGAAAGAATCCATACTTTTATCTCTAATTTTGCAAATCCTGGCTACAGGTTGGCAAATTGGAGTATGGGGGAGTCAAATCCCACCCAATATTTTTCCGAAAAATTGGATATGTTGCCAGCAGTCATCTGTTTGGTTCACTATTGTATCCTGATTGCCTAGAATACTCAGAAGGTGCTTGATAAATGTTTGTTAAATAAAAGGAATTTAGAAATTTGGGAATTTCATATATAGTCTGGGTTTATGGCTTATCTTGAAAAGCTGGAAGATTAGACACCTTGAAGACCCTGAAGACCGCATTTCCACTTGGCAGGAAGTGGCTGGAGGCGAAGGCTGCCACCTCTCTAAGGGGGACGTATGTATCCAGCTTGACACAGATCCCACTGGGGTCTCCTTTTGTCTGGCCACCGGAGCATTTGGGTTTTCAGTACCTGTTCTAGGTTACTCTGCTTTCTTTTCTTTTCTTTTCTTTCTTTCTTTCTTTCTTTCTTTCTTTCTTTCTTTCTTTCTTTCTTTTCTTTTCTTTCTTTCTTTCTTTCTTTCTTCTTTTCTTTTCAGACTGAGTCTTGCTCTATTGCCCAGGCTGGAGCGCAGTGGTGCAATCTTGGCTCACTGCAACCTCTGCCTCCCAGGTTCAAGCAAGTCTCCTGCCTCAGCCTCCTGAGTAGCTGGGATTACAGGTTCCTGCCACCATGCCCAGCTAATTTTTCTATTTTTAGTATAGATGGGGTTTCACCATGTTGGTCAGGCCAACTGACCTCAAGTGATCTGCCCACCTCAGCCTCCCAAAGTGCAGGGATTACAGGTGTGAGCCACCGTGTCCAGCCTTCTGCTTTGTTTAATGTAAAAAAGTTCTCCTCTTCACAGGTACTCAGTCAGGAAGTACCAGCTCCTTTGAGCACGAGATGTCTCAGGAAGGGTTCAGTGCTGCCATCACCTCTGTAAGTGGCCCTTCGTTAAATTGCGGGGATGGGGTGGGGATAACTAGAGAAGAGATAGGAGAGATGCAGGGGACGCGGGGCTCTTCTCTGTGACTTGGGAAGTAGCTCTGTGAGGGGCAGCAGTGGTCCCTTTATCCTTCCTCATCAACCCTGTTCTGCCCTTTCCCAGAACGGCCCCTTGCTGAGCACTGTGGGGAGCTATGACTGGGCTGGTGGAGCCTTTCTGTATACATCAAAAGAGAAAAGCACCTTCATCAACATGACCAGAGTGGATTCAGACATGAATGATGCTTACTTGGGTAAGTGGGAGGGCAACAGTTACTCTAAGAAGGTGTCAGGATGTGGCATATGACAACTAGCGTGGATGTCTGGGTCTTTCGCAGGCTCTTGGGTTAGCTTTAAAGCCAGAAACTCCTTTTTTTTTTTGAGGTGGGGTTTTGCTTTTCTCGCCCAGGCTGTAGTGCAATGGTGTGATCTTGGCTCATGCAACCTCTGCCTCCGGGGTTCAAGTGATTCTCCTGCCTCAGCCTTCCAAGTAGCTGGGATTACACGTGTGCGCCACCACCCCTGGCTAATTTTTTTTTGTATTTTTAGTAGAGGCAGGGTTTCACCACATTGGTCAGGCTGGTCTCAAACTCCTGACCTCAGGTGATCCACCTGCCTTGGCCTCCCAAAGAGCTGGGGTTACAGGTGTGAGCCACTGCACCTGGCCAGAAACTTCCAAATGGAATTGCAATTATGTTCATAAAGAGGAATATAGCTCAGGGATCAGTTACCCCAACACAGCAAGCGTGGGGCTGCCCCAGTGCTCCTACACAAGGGGTGGGTCTGCATGGCAGAGGAGGGGGCAGGAAACACACTTCACCTCTCAGACCTGCACCTTCAGGTTATGCTGCCGCTGTCATCTTTCGGAACCGGGTTCAAACCCTGGTTCTGGGGGCACCTCGGTATCAGCATGTCGGCCTGGTGGCGATGTTCAGGCAGAACGCTGGCATGTGGGAGTCCAACGCTAATGTCAAGGGCACCCAGGTGAGTGCGGTGTGTGGAGCATGAATGTGCAAACAGAGGCGCCCTGGGGGCTTAGAGATTGTGGGAGGGGTATTCATATGACATGCATGGCCATCCCATAAAGGAACCTCGGCGGGGGGGCTGTGAGCTGGGGACTTGTGGGATCAGCTTAGCATTTGAGAATGCCAGGTCCTCAGGTTTTTGACGGCGATAAGTAACAATGCTTGCCTATACGAGCTCTTTATGGGTCTTCCTGTACTCAGAGCTGGCATTCAACCCATCAATAACCAGGACAGCCATGTTAATAAAATATTGAAATAATTCCATATTCATTGATAAATGGTAGAGTCCCCCTCACCCTTGCACGCTGGTGCCGCTCCAGTCTCTGGGTTGCCCCATAATCCAGCAACTATGAGGTCAGGCAGGACCTCAATGGTCCCTCTAGGACCTGCTCCAGCTACGCCCCTGCTCAGCACCTGTGCAGCCCCAGCTGTTCATTATTTTGAACATTACCCCTGCAAAAGCAGTATAGTCACATATTTTGTGGAAACTGGTGAATGAGGCAAAACTTTCTAGTCCAAATCATTATTGCAAATTCCTGAAACAGGACTGCACCCATGATATGGTGCCTATAGTTCTTTTTTTTTTTTTTTTTTTTTTTTGAGACAGAGTCTTACTCTGATGCCAGGGGCCAGGCTGGAGTGCAGTGGCGCGATCTCAGTTCACTGCAACTTCTGCCTCCTGGGTTCAAGCAATTCTCCTGCCTCAGCCTCCCAAGTAGCTGGGACTACAGGCATGCGCCACCATGCCCAGCTAATTTTTGTGTTTTAGTAGAGATGGAGTTTCATCATGTTGACCAGGATGGTCTCAATCTCTTGATCTCTTGATCTGCCTGCCTCAGCTTCCCAAAATGCCGGGATTACAGGCGTGAGCCACCGAGCATGTACTATATTTCTTTTTTTTTTTTTTAAATAATTTCATGTGGGACATGGTAGCCCACGCCTGTAATCCTAGCACTTTGCAAGGCTGAGGCAGGTGGATCACCTGAGGTCAGGAGTTTGAGACTAGCCTGGCCAATATGGCGCAACCCCATCTCTACTAAAAATAAAAAATGCAAAGAAAAATTAGTCAGGCCTGGTGGCTTGTGCCTGTAATCCTAGCTACTCGGGAGGCTGAGGCACAAGAACACTTGAACGCAGGCAGCAGAGGTTGCGATGAGCCAAAATCATGCCACTGCACTCCAGCCTGGGTGACAGAGCAATACTTCATTTCAATAAAAAAAAAATCGCTTCAACTTTTAGATTCGGGGGGTACATTGTACAGGCTTGTTACATGCATACATGCATCTTGCTAAGGTTTGGGCTGCAGATCCCGTCACCCAGGTAGTGAGCATAGTACCCGATAGGTGGTTTTTCTTTTTTCTTTTCTTTTCTTTTTTTAGAGACAGGATCTCACTCTGTTGCCCAGGTTGGTTTTGAACTCCTGAGCTCAAGCAATCCTCCTGCCTCGGCCTCCCAAAATGCTGGGATTCTGCGTGAGCCACTTTGCCCAGCCCAATAAGTGGTTTTTCAACACACACCTACTGCTCCCCCATCTGGTAGTCTGCAGTGCCTTTGTCATTCTCGTCTTTATGTCTATGTGTACCCAATGTTTAGCCCCCACTTATAACTGACAGCATGCAGTATTTGGTTTTCGGTTCCTGGGTCAATTCACTTAGGATGGCCTCCAGCTGCATCCATGTTGCTGCAAAGATGTGATTTACTGTTTTTTATGGCTGCATAGTATTCCGTGGTGTATGTGTACCACATTTTCTTATCCAATCCACCACTGATGGGCACCTGGGTTGATTCCATGTCTTTCTAGTGTGAACAGTGCCATGGTGAACATATGAGCATGTGTCTTTTTGGTAGTACAGCTTCTTTTTCTTTGGCTATATGCCCAGTAATGAAATTGCTTGGTTGAATGGTAGCTCTGTTTTATGTTCTTTGAGAAATCTTTAAACTGCTTTCCTCAGTGGCTGGACTAATTTACATTCCCACCAACTGACAGTGTATAAATGTTCCTTTTTCTGCATAGCCTCGCCAGCATCTGTTATTGTCTTCTTTTTCTTTTTTTTAAGATGGAGTTTTATGCTTATTGCCCAGGCTGGAGTGCAATGGTGCAATCTCAGTTCACTGCAAACTCCACCGCCCCTCCTCCAAACCAATTCAAGCCATTCTCCTGTCTCAGCCTCCTGAGTAGCCAGGATTACAGGCATGTGCCACCATGCCTGGTTAATTTTGTATATTTTTTTAGTAGAGATGGGGGTTTCTCCATGTTGGTCAGGCTGGTCTTGAATTCCTGACCTCAGGCGATCTGCCTGTCTTGGCTTCCCAAAGTGCTGGGATTATAGTCGTGAGCAGCCATGCCTGTCTTCTTAATAATAGCATTCTGACTGGTGTGAAATGGTGTCTCATTGTGGTTTTGAGTTGGATTTCTCTGGTGATTTGTGATAATGAACATTTTTCCCCAATTTTTTTCTGGCCATTTGTTTGTCTTCTTTTGTGAAGTGTCTGTTTATGTCCTTTGCCCACTTTTTAATGAGGTTATTTGTTTTTTGCTTGTTGATTTGTTGAAGTTCCTTGTAGATTCTGAATTTCAGACCTTTGCCAGACATGGCTTGCAAATAGTTTCTCCCATTCTGTAAGTTTTCTGTTTACTCTGTTGATAGTTTCTTTTGCTCTGCAGAAACACTTGTCGATTTCTGTGTTTGTTGCAGGTGCTTTTGAGGACTTAGCCAAAAGTTCTTTGCCAAGGCTGGGGTTGAGAAGAGTATTTCCGAAGTTTTCTTCTACTATTTTAGTAGTTTGAGGTCTCACATTTAAATCTTTAATCACATTTAAATCTGTAATATATCTTGAGTTGATTTTGTATAAGGTGTAAGGAAGGGGTCCAGTTTCATTCTTCTGCATGTGGGTAGCCAGTTACCTCAGCACCATTTTATTGAATAGGGAGTTCCTTCATGGGCTTTATTGAAGATCAGACGTTTGCAGGCGGGTGGCTTTATTTCTGGGCTCTCTGTTCTGTTCCAGCGGTCTATGTGTCTGTCTTTGTACCAGTACCATCCTGTTTTGATTACTTTATCCTTATATTCCGGTGGTGTAATGCCTCCAGCTTTGTTCTTTTTTGCTTAGGATTGTTTTGCATATTTGGGCTCTTCTTTTGTTCCATATGAATTTTAGAATAGTTTTTTTCTAATTCTGTGAACAATGGCATTGGTGGTTTGATATGAATAGCATTGAATCTGTAAATTGCTTTGGGCTGTACGGCCATTTTAACAATATTGATTCTTTCAATCCATGAGCATGGAATATTTTTGAATTTTTTGTGTCGTCTCTGATTGACAGAGATGACAAAATACAACAGTGTTTTGTATTTCTCCTCGTAGAGACCTTTCACCTCCTTGGTTAGCGGTGTTCCCAGGTACTTCATTTTTTGTGTCTGCTTGTAGTTCTGTATGTTTTTAAAATTTTTGTCACTGGTTCTCTTTGACCTGTAATTAATGCATTGTATGGAGATGAAATCAGTTTGTTCTGATACCTGAACAGCTTGTCATAATTCTTTGCCAATAGTCAAATTCTTCCCATGGTCTCTCTAAAGGTTTTACAAACACCTATTGGCCATTGAATGGTGTCAGTGCCTGATACGTATAAGGGATGGGTGTAGAAGAATTACGGGAAGTCAAGTGTAGATGAGATGCCACTTCGCTGTTTTGGGTGTGTGGTCAGGACCATATGAGGAAGACTGCCTGTGTGCACCCCACACAGGTACATGCACATGACCATCAAGGGTGACAGATGCTTAAACTGGGACCTTCTGGCAGTTATGAAAGCAAATGGGAGGGGCAGCCAGAGAAAGGCAGTAGGGAAGGCTTCCTGGAGGAAGTGGCAGCTAAGCCAAAGCCTGTGGTGGAAACACAAGAGAAGTGAAAGAAGTAGGGGGATAAAAGGGGCCAGAAGAGGGAGAGAGCATAGAATGGAGGTTAGAATGTGGGTGTATGGCGGTGGGAGGAGTGGTGGGAGAAAATGGGAAAGAAGGGCAGGTGTGGTTTATCCCAGGTATTCAGGGCCTGTTTGACATCCCAAATACCAATATTGCAGAAAAGGAGAAGCTGATTCTGAAGTTCATATGGAAAGAGAAGGGACCCATATCTTGGATTTATAGCTAAGTATTTCATGGCCTTTGGCACTATTGTAAATTGCACTGTTTTTTAAATTTACATTTCCATTTGTTCAATGATATAGAAATGCAACTGATTTTTACATATTGATTCTGTATCCAAAACAATCTTGGAAAAGGGGAACAAAGTTGGAGGGTTCACACTTCCCAATTCAAACCTTACAAATCCATAGAGCCAGAAAGTAAATTAGTGGTTTCCAGGGGCTGGGGGTTGGGTTGGGGATTGGAAGTGACTGCTAACAGATACAGAATTTCTTTTTGGGAAGAAGAAAATGTTCCGGGGGTAGTGGTGGTGATTATACAACATTGTGAATATACTAAAACCTTATACTTTAAAATGGTAAATTTTATGGTATATGAATTTAATCCAAATTATAAAAGCTACTTAAAAAAATCAATGTGATTCACTATAACAACAGATTAAAGAGGAAAGAGTATGTATCTACCTTAACCAATATAGCACTATAATTTGACAACATACAGCATCCTTTTATGATTAAAAATACTCTCAGCAAACTAGGAACTAAAGGGAACTTCCTCAACCTGAAAAAGAGCATTTACAAACAATCTCTTGCAGGCATTTTACTTAACAGTGAAAGAGAATGCTTTTCTCCTAAAATTGGAAACAAGGCAAGAATATCCGCTTTTATAATTCCTGTTTGACATTGTACTGGAAGACCTAGCCAATGCAATAAAGCAAGAAAAAGAAGAAAAAGAATACAGAGAGGAAGGGAAGAAATAAAACCATCTCTGTTTGCAGATGATTGCATGGAAAACGCAGGATACAAAAATCAATGTATAAA